TTGTCCACAGGGCGCGAGCTCCGTCCTCCTCCAGCCCATAGACTCCAGCTGCCTCCTCAGGCGTCCTTCTGCCCAATGTCGAGCAGCGTGGCACCAGAAGCTCTCATCCAACCCTGCTTCAATGAGGAGGGTGCGTGCACCCCGCTTGACCTGGGCGATCGCGTTCTCCGCGCGGCCGTTCCCCTTGAAGTTGTCTCCATCATTGAAAGTTCTCATGATGCTTCTGTCGTGGCACCACTTCTGAAAGGATCGGGATTGATATTCCCCTGCCCGATCTGAGTGAAGTCTCTTGACCGGGAAGCCCAGGAAGTCGAGCCGGGCCGCCATCCTTCCAATGGCTTCCACTACCGCCGGTCCTCCACAGTTCTCCAGGATCTCCACCACGAGGATCTGCTTCACCTGGAAGTCGCTCTCCACTTCGACCATCTCCGTCCAGGCCTTCTCATCGTCCAGTCCGGGCCACCCTTCTCTCAATCCTTCCGGGTTCTCCCCGTCCTCAACCACCGTCAGCTCCGGTCCATCACCCAAAGCTCCCGGCAGCTCGTGCTCCTCATTGATGGGAATGAGCGACTGCCCGTCCTTGGCCACAGGCACCAAATACACACCCACAAGCAGGTAGCGGCCCTTCCCCAGTTGGTCCTCCGCCAGCTCGAACGGTCCCGCTGTGTCGATCGACAGCGTATACGCGTCCGGATGTGGAATGCGCTTGTGGGCCCTGCTCCTCGATGCAGCGATGACACACGACTTGCATTCTCTTCGGTAGGGCAGATGCCCGTTCAGCAGATGCCTTTTCCAGGCGTCGAGGTCCATTCGCCTCATCTGAGGATCTCTGCTCTGCAGTGCTTCCCGAACTGCGACCACCAATGCCGCCTTCAGGCCAGGTGCCCAAGCTGCCCATGACTTCGATCTTGCGATCCTCTCCTGAATCGAATCTCCCCGATGGTCTTCTCCTCCATGCCCCTGTCCACGAAGACCCTCAAGTTCCTTGAGCCTGGGCATGTTAGTTCCCAGTCGGGTAGGTTTTCTTCGGCGTGTCCCATCGGACCCTGGTCGAACCGCACCTCAAAGAGCCCCCGCAACTTGACCGTCTGCCACTCCGGCCACGACCAGTATGTCGGGTATCGTGGGTGTCTCATCGACTCTTCATTCCTCCCCTCTGTGGCCTGGCCTCCATTCTCGGCCGCCTCCTTCTTGGTCTCCCCCAAGTAGGCCTCCGGGTCATCCGGTTGTTCAAGCGCGGTGACCACCTTCTCGGGTTGCGCTGCCTTCGATGCCCGATGATGGAGATACACCTGCCTTAGCCAAAGGAGTGTGTCGTCCTCCACCTGCTGTCCCAGCACCGGATCGAGGTTCGGCAGGCCAAATCTCCCAGGGCCGAGGTCCTGGCTGTCGATACCGCAGTCGACTCATAGTCCTGCGCGGCGGACCTCCCAGCAGGACTCGAAGTGTGCCACCGTCGGCGATCTCCGGCAGGTAGGCGAAGACATCGTCCCGTAGGATGTTCATGCCAGGATCGATGATGGTGTCCACGCATAGTACTGCTCTGCCTACTGACTCCAGCTCCCGCTGCCAGAACTTCTTCGTGTCCCCACTGAACAGATGGACCACCACCTCTCGCGCCTTCCTCAGCCTCCTTCTCTCATGCCGATTCCACGGAAGTGACTCCCCCGTCCATCCAACCTTCGGCAAGATCCTCACCAGGATTCGAAGTGGCACTTCAGGGAATAGCTCTCGAAGCTCTCGTAGGTGATGGACCTCCTCCACCTCGAGCTCATCACAACCACCATCTCCTTTCAAGACGGCCAATCGAGCTCGCTCTCTGACCATGCTCCGCTCGATCTCACCGATGAGCTCGCGTCCCAAGCCTTCATCCACCGTCGGGCACATTCCCTCCACTGCCACGTCCAAGAGTGCTCCACTTGGGTCCGTGAGTGTGAACCGGTCCTTCTCCCAGTAAGCCTCATAGCCCAATGAGATCAGTACTCCAAGTGGGACGATCGTCTGGACCTCATTCTGAGTCAGGAGGGTCTTCGTCCACGGGATCTGCCTGAGCATCACTGAGCCCTCCGCTAACTCCACTCGGACTTCTTGTGCTCTCTGCCATTCTTCCTCCGATTCGGCTCTCCGGAGACAGTGAGTCGCTCCCCCATCTAGGAGAGCTCGATCGTTGGCTCGAACCTCCAGGCTGCTCAGCTTGATGGCCTTGACTGCCGTTCTCCCCTCACCAGCCGGTCTCAAGCTCTTCAGGAGTGTGGTCGCCTCGGTCAGCAATGCTTGAACTTCTCCAGAGCTAGCTGCTGGCTTCTCGACCTTCTTTTCATCCACCACCTCCTCACTCGCAGCCGGGGGACTCCTCCACGATCTCACGCTCCTTCTTCTTGTTTCCGACTCCCTTTTCGGTCTCCTTCTTGAACGTCTTCACTTGCTTCTCGCCCTCAGTCCTTGGCTTGACTGCTGGACACTCCTTCTTGGTGTGCTTCGTGGACGAACATCCAAAACTCCGGCCCTTCTTCTCCAGTTGGCTCCAGTCGTGCTTGAAGCGGCAATCTTGCCCCTTCCTGCAGCCCTCCTCGGATTTTCAGAATCGGCAGACCTTGTCCTCGGGCTTCCCCTCGCTCTTGGCCTTTCCAGAGCCCTTCTCTCCTTTCTCCTCGATCATCGCCGTCATGGCCTTGACCTTGGTAGTAGCCGGTACCGTCTTGACCTCCGGCATAGGCTGCAGCTCACTGGTTGCAAGGGACTCCGCCTCCGCCGTGAGCATGTCCGAGAAACTCAGGACCGTCTCCAGGTTCGGAGTCACGTCCACTCCCAACGTGGCTCGAGTTGAGGACATCCGGAATGCCACTTGGTTCGATGTTCTACCCACCAGCTCCGACATCCGGTCCAAAGCCCCCAGCAGCAACGTTGCATCCGGGGTTGCAATCTCCAGTTCTTGTGCCCGTCTCAGGCTCCTGCGCCACCCTCTGAGCGCCTCCACCACTTCGTTCATGGTCTGTGGCGTCTTCGGTTCCACCAGTTGTCGTAGGAGCCGAGAACGCTCTGCCAGGCCTCCAGGCTGATAACGCCTAAACAGCGCGTAGAGCACCTCCACCGAGCTCGTAGTTCGACTTGACAAGATCTCCGCTTTGATGCTCTGCGGCACGGAGTTGAGCAACATCAGCTGTCCCCTCTGTTCAAGTCGGCTCCAAACCCCAGAACACTCGACCGGGACCCTTGGCCTGATGTAAAGCCGTTGAACTGGTTCCGCCTGTAGCCACTCCCGGTAGGCCATCATAGCGAAGTTCAGCACTTCTTCCCACCACTTCCAGCTCGTCGCGCTCAGATCCTTCATTGTCGGGGTCACCAATTGGATCCAGTCTCCAAGAATGATTGACCCCAAGTCTCCCTCACGAAGGTCCTGAAGAGGTGGTAGCTCTACTGACCTAATCGCCTCAGCCCATTGACCCTCCGATGAACTGGTTCCCAACTGCCTCAAAACCGTCTGGGCTGCTTGTTCCAGGGGCAACCCTTTGACTAGCTCCCTGACTCCGTCCCCATCTCCTCGATGGTGTCCGCCTTGGTAGACCCCACCCTCCAGCTCCCCAGGATCCAGGCACGTCAGGTACTCCCGAACCTCGTGGGGCTCCACCTCTCCCCATAGTGTTGCCCTCAACGGCCTCGGGAAAGTCCGGGATCTTCACATCGGCCCATGCCTGATTCGAAGCTTCCATCCTTCCCCTCACAGGGGTACGCGGGGGTGGATCCTTCGGAGGTGACGGTGGTGGTGTCGATGTAGGGGGTTTTGGTGCTTCTCCAGCGGTCTCTCCCTTCACCTTCTCCTTCGATGACTTGACCTCCCTTCTCAACTCCCCCAACTCCTTTTTCAAAGCGGCATTCTGTGCCATCACTGCCCGGAGGAGTTCCTTGACGTCCATTGAAACCACCCTTTTTCCTCATCCACAGGCTCCACCCGTCCTGAAGTCTGGGGCCCGTCCACAGCATCTCCGTCCGGCAATGCCGCTGGCCTCATCGCTCTCAGTCGAGCTTCTGCCTGAAGTCGCTCGCTCCAAAACGGGTTGACAGGCACCACCTTTGCTCCATCACCCTTTCCCTTTCCATGGGCTTCGCCCCGTCTTTGAGGCCCATAGGTCACCGGCGGACCCTCAGCCAGGACCATCGCGGTCACGGGCACCATGGCGTCTCGAGCGTCCTCGAGGGCGAGGACTTCCTCCTCTTTCGCCGACTCCATCGACCCCTCTTCCGGGGTCGAAGACGCAGCTGCCACGCTCCGCTTCGCCATGGGGACCAGCACCCTCACCTCGAGGGGTGGACTTACCTCGAAGCCTGGCGCAGGTGAGTTGGGCTCATAACCCGCACGACCGCTCGCCGCGGTTCTTTTCTTGGCTAAAAAAGGGCTTCGTATGGTTTCATGCCTTCACAAACTTGGTACACTTCTTGATTTAAGTGCATGTTCCTGCTCTCTCAAACTAGGTACACTTCTTGATTTGTGTGCACCTCTTCTCAACCAAAACTACGGTACACTTCTCTATTTGTGCACCGGCAATGAGAATCCTTTGGAAACAGGGAGGGGTCACTTCCATGCTAGGGAGTCAGAGGGGAAGTCCCCCAACCAAAGGATCTCAAACGAAGTCAACTGCGCCTTCCAGGTTGAGGGGATGAGAAGTCCAACATACACCCGTCCGATCCTCCGATCCTCCGCTTCGACGGAATGAGTTCCGTCAAAGACATCGCCTTATATGTCAAAGACACGAGGCCTCCAATAGGTATCCAGACACGACTAATGGGACCGCCATAGGACTGCCGATCAGTTGGGGTGGTTTTAGGGGGTCACAATGTATAGGCATATATGGCATACATGGAGTGTATGGGAAATATCAAGAAGCCAAAGTGAAAAGGAGAGATGCAAAGCCCCAGAGACCCCACGCGAGACACCCCCTGACACCCGCCCGACGTCGATTTCGTCTACGCCGCCCCGCTGGTTTTTGTGCGAGCGAAGTGGCCAGAGTTCCCGACTTCTCTCGCGCCTCCCGTGCCAGTTGCAGCCACTGCAGTGCCACGTCGAGCTCCTCGCGGCGCGCATAGATGCCACCGAGGTGGGACCTCAGTGCGAGGGATGTGAGTCCTGTCGGCCTTGTGAGGTGGTCAAGCCGATCGCGGAGAAGTGGTTGTGAAGCTTGGGCCAGGCGTGGCAAGGCGAATTTCGTCATGGGACTGCTGTGTCCAAGTTTGGACTGCCGAACGATCAAGAACTCCTTGCTCCATCATGTGAGCCAGGTGGTGAAAGCAGAAATAGCAGTTGGAAGGGGCACTCTACAATAATCTACATGCAGCCTGGGTACCAAAGGACCATTCAAGGCTGCAAAGCCTCTCTGTTACGATCCCTCCACATCTCGCGACTCTGAGTGCCAGCGATCCTCACTCGGTTCCCCGGCAAAACGACCGCGCCAGCAGCCGAGTGCAAGGTTCCCGTCTTCTCGCGGATCACCTTCGCCTGCAAGTAGAGCCTCAGGTGATCAGATCATGACCGCTGTCTCTTTTGGAGTCGGGATTGCATCGGATGCAGTGGTGAGAAGCGGATGGGGTTGGGGCAAACCTTTTGATTTGTATCCTGAGAGTTGCCCAAGAGGATCCCAAAACATCCCAAAACCACAAGCCCCCAAATCCATCACACCCCAGGTCACATGTAGATCGTCATGCCAAACCGCACAAACCACTACACTAGTCTACACCCCCAAGTTCCCCCATGAGGCCCCATCGATGCTCCTCAGCTCTTAATGTGCCAGTTCTGGCGGCTCCAGCTCCCCCTCCGCATCTCCCAGCAACGCCTCCGTCCGCGTTCGGCGCGTTCTCGTCTCGCTCCGGTCCGGCGTCGGCGGTCCAGTTCGCTCGCGATGTGGTAGGGTTATTAGAAACAAGTGCATCGCTAGTAGTAACAGGTGCCACGCTACTAGTAACAGGTGCCTTACTAGTAGACATATGTCTGCCACCAGGTCTGTAGGCATTGCTTGGCTCTGGCCGCCGCGAGTCGCAGCAGAACATGTTGCGAACATGTCACGCCGCGTCTGGGAGGGGCAGGCAGAGTGTCAAAGCGTGCGACAATCATTGCATGAACACAAGATCTTTTCATGGTATAGTCTCATTGACTAACATGGTCGGACAGCAGTTCAACTGGCCCACTTTGCGGAACATTTGAGGTGAGTGTTCTCTTGCAACTACGTCCCTCATGTCCAAAATGCATCTTTCTTTTCGGACGTGCTCCACTGGCTGCGCTGGAAGATCGCCAGCATGAAGCTACAGGGTGGGCAGGGTTGGGTGTTCTTGCCTGGCAATGAGCTTTCGCCAAAATGGCATCAGCAAAAATGACCGATAAAACGAACGACAAAGCATGAACATGCAAACCTGAAAGTGCAACTCCTGTTCCAACCTACCTACCGTAAACATGAGCACCACTCTCTAGTTTGCAACATACGCGAGAGGCGTATTTGTTCAGCTTTGATCGAACATAAACAAGAACCTCCTGGACATGAAAAAGCGCCGCGAGCTGTTTTCATCCGAGAGGTTACCAGCATGGGGACGTAACCCCCGGACATGATAACACCTCACTTGCTCAGTGGTTCCCGTGCCACGGGTGATCCTTCCGCATTTGACACAGGTGTGCAAACTTTTGCACTGGTCACCGAACCGGCAGCCGAGCGAACAATTGTACCACATGCAGCGCTTCTTGCCTGAGTATTTGAAAGACGAAAGCTTAGCCCACTCTGCTGACGGCACACGAGCATCCTTCTTGGGCGGATCACGCTTGGCATTGGAGAGATGCTCACGAGCTTGCTGCAAAGTTTTCTTGGCACGCTCTCGCTGAGCTTTGTTCTTCTTGGCTTTGCCGGAGAGCTCGGGCACTGATTCCGAGCGATCTCTCTTGGTCGAGCGCCTTGGCGGTGTAGTCGGAGCAGAGTTCTGACCCGCCTGCCGGAACTTGTCAAGTTCGGCACTGGAACGAGCGTCATTCCATAGCTGCTTGTGGTTGGTCAAGACTTCGAGCAGCATGGAATAAGTCTTCCGATGGTCGGAGTTGAGTCTGTAGACCTTCTTTCTGATCAGACTGTCGAGAGCAAAAGAGCCAACCCCCGATTTTCGCGCCGCCACTCCTCGAGCTCCGATAGATATCTCAATGGACCAGCAGCATGTGTGAAGTCACAAATATTAAGATACTCCAGGGCCACGAGGAAGGCGTGCAACTTGTCCATGACTTGGTATTCGGACGCTGCGATCGCAGGTCGCAGGCTGATCAACTGTCACCACCTTGAGGAGGTCTTCGGCATTCTTGGACAAGCCACTCTTCTGAGCAATCTGTTCGCTCCGAGTTCTCATCTCCCCAACTTCGTAAAACGGCACGGAGCCGTGCACCAAGTAGTCACGCTGAAGTCGTTCGACCAGCTTTCGATGAGGCTCACGATGGTGTGGGAGAAGAACGTCTGGGTGGCGTGCCACGAACTGCTCACGAAATTCTGCGTGGTCGTCACCTGGAATCTCAGGGACCTTGGTAGGATCCTCTTCCATCTTGGCTCGACGGCCGCGAAGTGGTCCTGCATATGAGCAAGTCTTCCAAGCTGCAGCGATCGATGTAAGCGAAATCTCTTGCTCACCAGCACTTGCCCCGAGCAGGGTGTCATCGCCGATGATCGTCTTTGCTGCTTGCTTGACAGCTGCGATAGTGTTGCCGAGCATGGCGAATGCTTCCACCGTCAACAACCTTCGATCGGCAATGAGTCTGCACAGATTGGTTGGCAGCCTCATGGCGGCCGAAGATCTGACGTAGTGCCATCTCTGGCATATTTGCTGGATCATAAACTGTTCGATCGACCATGGCTGAATGTCAAAACCGATGAGGCTCTTGAACGGAAAACTGTTCGGAAACACAGATCAGAGGACTCGTGAACACACTAAGGTGGAGAAATCAACATGAACAGAAAAAAGACTCACAGAACAAGCCCCGAAAAATTCGCCGCCCAACCCTGCGAGACCGGCAAAACATGCCAGGCGTACACAAAGTGAGGCTACGAGGAGGCATCCGGATCCAGCCCGTGGAATGACAGCACTTCCGGCCGGGCGCGAGCGCAACCCTTATACACAAGACACTCGGATCCGGCAGCGTATCACCCACTGACGAGCAGCTTGTCAAGAGCGCTGTGTAGTCCTCACTGCTCCTAGAATTGCAGTGAAATTTGTACTCGTACGAGGAGCCCGGACTGGGCTTCTTCATGAAGTATTCGATCGCCTGCAATTTCGCATCCGGTGCGTCCATGAGCAGGGTGTCCTCATCCTCCTGAACAGGGTGCTGCTCTTGAAGCATGTCTTTGACGAGCTGGTTGATCATAAGCGCTGACACTCCCGTGCGGTTCCGTGTGTACTTGAGCACGACGAGAGGCCCTGGATTCTTCCAGTTGGCTTGCAAACCGATCTCTTCGGTGGTCCGTCCGGTATGAACAGCCGCATCGAGCAAGGTGACTCGACACGAGTGCATGGTGAAGGCATGGATCTTCAGAGCGAGCTCTGACCGTTCGTTCCGCTCGACACGAGGTGAGTGATCGATGAGATCTCTGCTCAGATACTTCAACCACTGTAACGATCGAGCGAAAGAAGGTGGCTCGTCTTTGAACAAAGACTGGGTGTTGAGCTCGGGAATCCAAAAATCACGATCCATTCGCTGGGTGTGTTGAAAAACCTTCCACCCAACCTCCAGCCATTCTGAACAAAGAAACCCGATCTTTGGAACTACGAAACGAGTCTCAACACGTTTTCTTTCGACCTTCGTTTGCCAAGCCACCCCGAAGAGCCCTTCGTCCTTGAAGGTAAGCTCGAGCGGCTTGACATGAACTCCATCATCGAACCTGAGGGAGGCAAAGACCATACAAAGGATCCACCAAAGAAACAAGCGAGCTGCTACAGGGCGATCTTCGTCACAAACGAAAAGCTCCAGCTCTTTAACGACCGGAATGGGGATGGGGATCGCCTCTCTGAGCGTCTTCGCTCGCTCGCTGAGCACAGAAGCTTGCAAAGCTAAAGACCTGTGATCATCAAACGATGGTGGGTCGATGGCCAGCTTGCTACAGATCCACTTGATGGAAGCCCGCAAGGTTGGAAGAACGGAGGGCCCACATGAACAATTGTTCAAAAACATGCCATACTTTAGGACCTTGTCGATCGAAAGGGGGGTAGAACTCAAAGCCCACCGCACTTGCCCATTTCTCGAACCGCTCGAAAATACGCACGTGTCCGGCCATGGTGCGATGAGCCCCCGAGACCAAAACCAAACTTCTGAGCTGCATCTTCTCTGCGGCTGAGAGGTTTGGACCCAGGTGAGCTTCCTGAAAATGTTTGGCATGTTCACCAGCCCGAGCCCCAATCTCCTCTAGGCGAGCTGCCCATCGCTTTGTCTCGGACCTCTCCTTAAGGGGGTCGATGATGACGAGCTGTCCTGAGTTGCGGTCTTCGCCCGTTTGGGCTGGACCATGGGCTTGGCTGTCAGGTTGGCGATCGCTGATCTCTTCCTGAGCGTGGCCGAGGGGTCGGTGGACGAACTCGACGAGGATCCCGCCAGTTCACACAAGCCGAACCCTAGCTGGAGAGCGGTGGACTCGAAGTACGCTTTCTTGATCGACATGGACAAGGTCCAGAACTGCTCCAGCATAAGTTCACGACCGTGAAAAACTTCGACGATCGAGTCATCCCAAGACCTCCCAAGACCGTAAACTCTCTCCACGAAGTCCGAGCTGGAAACAGCCTCCATGGCTGAAACGAATGCCACTGAGTGGAGTGGTGTCTTCTTGATGGCCTGGGCGAACGGGGCATCGAAGACAGGAAGATCTAAGATATTTGATGACCACCGATCGGTGGTGAACATGCTAGCCAACCACCTGAACATGCTTGAGCCTAGTCATCGCTCAGACATGAGTCAAGCTAGCTGATCAGCGACTTCGCGTCTCCTTCAATCGATCGAGAAGAAACTTTCCAAATCAAAATTGATCAACCCCATAGATCCTCACGACCTATAGAAGGAAAGACCACCCGGGAGCCCAGCGGCACCAGAACTAGCGATAGGAGCGCAGCAAGCACAGAGCGGTCGGCTCCCTTGAAAAAGGTGCTGACACTGAACGGCCAGTGCACCCCTGAGCCCCCGCGACCGACTCCCCCACTGAGTATCTCACCTCACGCGGGCAAAAGTCGAGGTCGATGGACCAGTACGATCGACGTGATCGAGTGCTCAATCCAACTCAAGAAAATTATGATTCAAAACTGCGAAAGCTTGAAATATAAAAAGTGAACACTTCAGAAAGAAATGATCGCGAGTCAGCTCATTTCATCACTGCTGACGATCCTTCTCGATCGGAATCAATCGAGACAAGTCAATCAAATTCCAAATTGAAAAATACTCAGACCTCAGTGACTTCGTCCGGCTTGGGTGGCGCAAGCGACCGAGGCCCCACCTGGCTTCCTTCAGAGCCGTCCTCATGAATTTCATTGATCCGGACTGAAGAAGTTCTCTGCCGGTCTGAGCTCTGGCTAGAGCGCCACCCGCTGCCATATGCACGAGCGGCTTCCACAAAAGCTTGCGGCGTCATAGCCGACTGATCCAAATTCTCATTGCGCCTATGCTCGAGAGAGCGCCTAGGTGGAGCAAGCGGCGGGCGCCGGAGCTTGACCCGGATCCGTCACTGGCGCGGCAGGAACACCACGAAAGTCACCCGGGCCAGTCAGCGCTGGAGCGAGCTTGGGAGCACCTTCATGAATGCAAGCGGCTGCACCAAAGGACCTTCCACGATCGGGGGCAGAATGTTTGCCATGACCTCTTCATTCGGGTCGTGGTGCTGCAACGCGAGCGCGTCCGCATTCACGATCGCCCTCGAATTGCGGAACAACGGGCTCTCACAAACCAGATGCATGTTGATCGGGTTGGACTCAACCGCAATGCCTGAAATGCGCGGGCCCGTGTCATCGATCGATGTGACCTCCACCTGCGCCGTCCAATGGGCGTGACTGGCCGCCAGTTGACTGAGTGCCTGATCAGGCCCTTCGACCCTTGCGCCATGATCTCGGCACCACTTGGCGTTTCGGATCAAAGTTGGTCCGGAATCCAGTCGATTGCTGGCTGACCAGAATCGCATCTCCAAACGATCTGCACCGGCGCCGAACGAATCGGGCGAGCTGGTCGCAGTGAAGCGGCATTCGAAGTGGCAAAGTGGATGATCAAGTGCCACAACGACAGCCCCCTCCGAACATGCGTACAGGCGACCGCCCACTTCGAAGGAGATGGCCACCACACGCCCTTGGAAGACCGTGATGACAAAGCTCGGGATGAACACCGTATCGTTCAAGATATTGAAGATGGCGTCCGCCACATGGACCATCTGGATGCTCATGTCAGCGTCCGAGCGGAATCCACGAAGTTCTAAATGAACCAACAACTGGCCTTCCAACTTCATTTTGATATCGACCCAGGTAGGACTGGATTCGGTCATTGGAGGCCAGCGGAATGGCTGAAAAGCCGAGTGACTCAAAACCAGGCCAGTTGCGGCATCCCACTTGGCACACGGTGCGCTTGAATAGCAGGTTGCCGAGCCACAGATGATCACCTTCACACTGTCCAGCGTGTGCACAAGGAAGAGGTTGAAGTGACAACCAGTCGAGGGAGACTTCACAAGCGAGTGGTCTGACTTGACATTGAGGTGTGTCAAGGCATTGGTGAGCACTTCATCAAGCAGCCAATTCTGAAAAGGCGACTGGATCCTCATGTCACGATTGTCAATGATCAGAATTGAGCGCTCGCCTTCCCCGGCTCCAATCTGCGACAAATGATCTGGCAAGGCCGTGTTGAGCGGGTTGTGCCTGAGGTTCCCTGGAGCCAGGTTGCCCCAACGATAGGCACGCCTCCCTCTTCGAGCTGCTTGCTCTTGACGTTCACGAAGTCGCCGAGAGGCAGGGGTCTCGTTCGTGTGGTTGAGGAAGCTCTGTGCTGCTTGGAGAAAAGGTGCTGCTGCTGAGCTAGCCGATGGACCTCCTGGAGGAGGTGGTGGTGGAACCACTTGAGGAGCCACAGGCTGAGCGGGTGGGGCTGACCAGATTTTGCAGGCTGAGAACTATCTTCTTGAACAGGTTCCATAGCCGGCTCTGGCCACGGATCATCCACAGTTGGCTCGACCTCAGCGTATGACCAAGAGCTGACTGAGCTGGTCTCGTCCTGGCGGCCAGAGGCATTGAACATCTGACGGCGAAGTGCCGTGAACTTAGGCATGGTTTGGCCGTTGGCTGCGCAGCTTCCAACATTGCTCCCAGGCCCTGAACAGGACAAACGAGTCTATCAAAGACTGTTCTTGCCTGGCAATGAGCTTTCGCCAAAATGGCATCAGCAAAAATGACCGATCAAACGAACGACAAAGCATGAACATGCAAACCTGAAAGTGCAACTCCTGTTCCAACCTACCTACCGTAAACATGAGCCCTGAGTGTTCTCTTGCAACTACGTCCCTCATGTCCAAAATGCATCTGTCTTTTCGGACGTGCTCCACCGGCTGCGCTGGAAGATCGCCAGCAGATAAGTGCAGAACCTCTATTAAGCTCCACCTGTCAATGCTTCACCACCCCAATCCAAAGTGCTTGGCTTCGCTTCTTTCAGCATCTCCGAATGTCTCCATGTCTTCCCTTCCAGGCCCCAAGAACAACCCCAAACCAACCGCAAAACCACCGGACCTCCACCCTTCGGCCTTGAGCTCAGCGATGTTGGTCAACAAGGTGGCCCCCGCCGTGGTCTCCAGCGTCCCCGTCTTCTCCTCGGAAAGCGGCCGCACGCCGGTCGTCGCAGACGCCGAGGCGCAGTCCACCAAGGGCCACACAGGCCACGCCTTGGTGACCCCTCAAAATGCTAACCCGCAGGTCGGCAAACAAGAATTCGGAAATGGCCGACTATAAACATGATAAAACCTCATCCGCCCTGCAAGTCTGCCAGATGTCGCTCAAACGTCAGCGTGTTGCGGAAAAAGCTCGCTCGCTCAGCCGCATCTGCCCACCATTCCACCATCAAAACATCCCCGCGAGTCACCCTCAGCCCTGAATATTGTTGGTCTTAGGCTCTCGGATGGTCAGCGCTTGCTCGAAAGCCTGCAAAACTAGCTCGCAGGCGTGATGATGCTATCCAGGATCAACATCCGTGATGCTCAGACGTTCATTCGCCTGTGTGGTGAATGGTGTTCAACATTCAACAGGTTTTAACCCTTCCGAGATCGGCCTCGTCGACTTCGTCTGAAAGATTCGTTTGGAGTACGTTTCGTCATGCGAACACATCTGATTGCCATGCGTCTGAGCCGCGTGTTCTTGGCCGAAAGCAAAAACACACAGGCGGCAAATCTGGCTCCTTCGCTTCACTAAAAGGCATAGACGCATAGATATCAAAACGACACCCTCACGCCACCACATGATCTTCACAAATGCTGGCCAACCAGCCATTCTTCAAGGCTTCCTCAAGTCTTATATAGCTGCTATTGGCCACGGGAACCAAAACCATATGCAAAAAAACATCAAAAAACACGAACGGGCGAGACGAACGCGCCAGACCAGCTGCCAGACCTGCTTCGCTTTCTTCTTCTTCTTTTGCTTCATCCGGGCCACTCCAATGTTCGACAACAAGGCGGCCCCCTCGGGAGTGTCAATTGTCTGGAGGCTCCTCGGTGCATATCGCCATCCGAGCCGCCGGAGATCCCCCAAAACCGAGCAACACGGTCGTTGTGTATGTGAAAAAAGGGGAGATGGGTCCGGTACTGGGTCCGGTGTGTATTTTAAGGTGGACACCCAACCAATTACTGTATGGGTTTTGGTCTATTTCCCTTCTTCCAGGCGTTTGGGAGGCCTCCCTAAGGCTCCGTAACACGCCTACGGTTCATCCAGATGCAGCGCCTGCCCCTGCGCCAAAGTCATTGTATAAGTTGTTATACAGAAAGTAAATCCTAGAGGGCCTTCCCCGCACTCCTGGTAACCCCTAAAACCCTAAACTCCTGTCTTGAGTCTCAGCCAAACTTCCGCCCAAAACCATCCCAAAACCGCACCTGGAATCGGGGGCCATACCGACTGGCACGTCGGATATTCCCAGAGATGCGGCCAGTCGGTCTGCGCGCTCGTGGATCGCAATCCGATCCGAATACGGCCAGGTCCGAGCCGGGCCGAGGTGACGTTGGCATATTCACCCCGAAGGTGTCCAAGCCCAATGGGGGGGGAGGGTTGAATTCATCAAGAGTCTACAGTCTAGAGTCTAGTCTACGTCTTTCCTCTGTGGACGTTGTTCTCGTGAAGTTGATCCCGTGGTCTGCGTCTCTCGGTCAGTTTGGCAGTCAGTCCCAGCGGCGCATGAATCTTCAACGCGGCCTCATACGCTTCCAGTGCAGCCTCCAGATCGCCCTCCTGTCGCTTGGCCGCGCCCAGGCTGTTCAGCAGCACTGCGCCTGCCCGAAGAGTGGGTAGAGGAAGTCGGGTGGTGGACATGTCTCAAGCTTCCTAAAATGTATCCATGTCAATCCATGTATACTCCAATCACAAGGCCATCAACATCACCAATCCAGCACCCCCGGCCTTCCGGCGTTTGAAGGCTCTCCGCCTCCTCCAAGACCTGCCGTGCCGAGCTGTACAGCTCCAGCTTCGCCGCCAGGTCGCCCTGGACGCCCCGCAAGCGCCCCAGCCGCCGCAGCGACGTGGCTTTGGCCATCGCCGCGGTCGACGCCGGGCTGCACAGCTGGAAGGCGCGCGTCGCGCGCCTGGTGAAGCGGTTCGTGTCCGAGCATGTCTCATCGCTGCGGGTGCATGGTCCACAATGTTGGCCACCTTTTTTGTGTGTTCTGGTGTTGCCCAAAAGTTGGGCGAAAACGGGGACGGGATGAACCCGTTTGGTGCTGTCTCAGTACCAATCAACAGGGCAACGACCAGCATCTGATGAACCCAGCTCTTCGCAGAGTGTTGCAAGTTCATGATGTCCCAGTCCCCTGGCACGTTTATGATGGCTCCGTTTGGAGGGAGCCAGGTGACCGCAGAAAACAAAAAGAAGGAATTAATGACGTGAGCCCTTCTCTGACGATGGATGTTGCTTCAGACGATTCAACTCGGTTCCCGTCAGCAGCTTCTGGGATCAAAGAATGCAGCCGAGGTGCTGGTAAAGCTGTGAAGCTGCCTCCAAATCCCCTGGGCTATGCGTGGGCCATACCGTGGGTTGCGTGGAGCGGAAGTGCCGTGCCGTACAAGTCAGCAGCCAAACCATGAAACTCACAGTGAACAAACATGAGAAAGGGAGGACAGTAGGTTGCTCCGGCCGCAGATCTATTCCAAAGAAATAGGACGCGGGCACGCGCGCGACACTTCGGGGGATTGTTTGAGCATTCGTTCTCGGCAGGGATGCCCCGCCCGCATCGCTGTGGCTGCTGTAGAGGTTCTACTGAGCTGACTCCCAACGTCAACACAGGTCATGGTTGGTGATAGTGAGTAGAAAACGGCTTCCATCTGGGTTGGTTGCTGGCGAATGGTTTCGGGCAGCCGTCCAACAATAAAAACACATTCGCATTTGAATGTAGGGCTCTGGTACTCGCGACTCACAACATCTCACAACCACATATATATATATATATATAGGGAAGCAGGGGGAGGATTGGTCCAGCGGCCGCCTGCAAGACCCCTGCGCAAAGGACAGAAGATGTCCGACAAGTCCTCGCAACGACCACTTGTGTCATCGCGCCTTTCTTCTCATAAATCTCTCCAAGGTTGGACATCAGCTCAGCCCCATCAGCAGATTTCTCCAAATCCAAGTGCTGCTCCTTCAGCCTCCGGACCCCCCAATCCCCGTGCACAACGAAAGGCATCCGGGCAACGTGTCAACACACGGATGCCCGTCGCACAGCCTCTCCCACCCTTCGCCGCAAGAAACTTCTCCCCCAGCCGATCTACCTCCCAACGTTCCACGCCTGAGACCCTCTTGCAGCAAGTGCTCAGCACGTTCCAGATATCCCAACGAGATCAAAAGGCTCCCAACCTGCGGCGAGATCGAATGGACTCCTACTTCACGGGGACTGGACCTGATCACCCGACCACCCGCCTCGTTGCAAAGGCCGGCAATGGCGTGGTCATCTTCCAGCTCCTCCACCTCCAAGCTTCGTAGGATGTGCCCCTCACATGCGCAAAGGATCCTCAGCACGGAAGGCAGGAAAAAGGCACCTGGCAGGACCCCTCCTCTGCCAGCAGTTCGTCTTAGAACTTTGTTTTGGAAGACTTGCGGTTTGGAACTCAGCCAGCATGGCTCAATCACACTGCCCACATCCAGCTCTTGACAAGGAGCCACTCCTTCAAGTGCTCCCCAATGACCTCAAAAGGCAGCGAAGACAAATGGCTCACACAAACGTAGAAACTTCGCGAGGCACAAGGATTTTCAAACTCTTCAGGACACAAAGGTGTTGCTCATTTACTACTAGAGCTACAGCTGCCTCAGCAAATCTTGAGCGAAAATCACCCAGTGAAGATTGGTGTCCGGTTTCACTTAGAGAACTTAGAGGTTTTCTGCAAGTTTCCAGGACCCCACTCCAAAGTCATGGGGATAGGTCAGCCTAAACCAACCCCTCCACCGACTTGCCCCAAGAAAAACCCGTTCAAGGTCCACCGGCCCAACTGCTGCGAGGTGAAGGCGAGGGCAAAGCCACTGTGTGTGTTTTTCGCGTTCGCGTCGTTCGTGTCTCAGTGGCCGTGTTCAAGCGATGATAGCCAGGCCCTTGCTGGATCATCTCCTAGGCAAGCTGCCAGGAACAAACGGACACGTTGGTTCACGGCCTTTGTTGGGACATGTGGATATGTTGTTGCACTTGTTAAGTTTCCCCAAAATATATCTAGGAACCGAATGAATCGTGAGTTTTCCTGCGTCCAGTAGGTAGGGGCGTCCAGTACCTTAATTAAGTAAGCGCCCACCTTGGGGAGGCAAAGCGGCCCAAGGCAAAAAAAGACCACTGAGTTGGTCAGCTTAAACCGATCAAGTGGTCTCTAGGACAATGCTTCGGTGAACATGTTCCGAAGCCGCTCTGAACGGCGTTCTGAACGGCTTTCTTTTTTCAAGAAAGACACTTAAGCCGAAACGGTTCCATGTGGCATCCTTTTTTCAGACTTCAGACCTGTGGCACCTTCCAGATGCCATGCATGAAGAAACACCAATACAGTATGCCATCTTCGGCCCCCCCCCTTAGACGCCAAGAGGCCAGAATCAGCTCCCGGTCCTCAACTGATGAGGACGGCCACTGAGGAGAGGATTCTGTGGTGTTACTTTTTGGGTGCCACTGAGCCTCTCAAGCCGTTTTTGTCGGACATCGATGCTCTGAGACCAGCACTGTGACATCTCGTGACCCTTGAACTTGAGGACTCTGAAACGAGAAAAGTATCGCTACAAGGGAGGGAGAAATCCCCTCGTTGCAGTTGGAGATCAGAGCATCAGAATATCTGGAGGATGTCAGACGTGGATTCGACCACTGATTCCACCGGATATCCGAGCGATCCCCAGCATCCACAGTGCTGCTGCCCAAAGGCGGCTGTTCTGAAGAGCAGTATCCCATCCGTAGATTGAATCAAGTTCATTATCCTGACTCCGTATTTTTGCTATGTCTTATTCAGCTTATCCATGCTTATCCCAAGAAACCTCCACCTGCTCCTGCTTTTTTGGATCCCTTTTGGGGTCTCCAACTGTGGCCAACAAGATGCTCGGGAAACGGACGCTTGTGCACATTCCACGTTAAGCTTGGACAAGGTGTTCCAAACCGCACCAATACCTGGCGTCTTCGGCTTTAGCTGAAGTACACGCACAGCATCTCTGACCAGTTCAAAAGCACGTGCAGGGCCATGAATCATGAGCCTAGGCCTGCCGTGTCACTTGCTGGAACCCTCTGGAACCTACATGCACCTTTCTTGCCCACTCCATCTGTCTATGAATCTCGCTGATCCAAGATGATTCACAACTCCAAAGATTGGGAGCCTGTCAGCCTGTCAGCCTGTCGCTGCTGAGCAGTCTTCTCCCGCTCGCGCGCGGCTCGACCGTGCCTCGGCCGTGCATGAGCTCCGCTCGCAGGTCCATGGCCTCGCTGGGCGGCATCACCACGGTGACCTGGCAGAAGCGGAGGGATCTGGCCACCTTAGGGGGAGCACGGACGACGAACAGCGGGGAACAGTGGATGAATTGGAACAGTTGTGCTTCCCAGCACGTGGGATGTAACTCTGTGGGGAGGGCCACTCACGACCAATGAATACAGGGTCTTACATTGTGAGCTAGAGCTTTTGCAGCAAGAACAGCACATCGACCACGGCATCAAAAACGCAGCAAACTACCATGAGCAAGCTTCTTCTTGTGGTAACAAGGACGCTACTAGGAACAAGTGCATCGCTTCTAGTAACAAGTGCCTTACTAGTAGTAACAAAAAGCTTGTTTCTAATAGCTTCTTGTTACTACTAGTAAGGCACTTGTTACTACTAGCGTGGCACTTGTTCCGTGCTCGCTTTTTGGGCACTGCCTTTTCTAGGGATGGGGGTTCAGAAGCGTTGAGCCGTTGAGCTCTCTCTTCTCGTGCGGGAGACAAGCTCGACTCGCTCCAGGCCTGGCTCTTGGCCACACAAATGGCTGTAAACATCTCCTCAGCCGTCCAACTCCAACTCTTCACAGGTCTGACAAAAAACACTTCATGGTCTGGCGAGAAGCAGGTGGCTTCGGTGACATCTTCGATGGTGGGGAGGTCCTCATCTTCCCCTTGTTCCCCTTCGTATTTAGGGGGCCGCCATAGGTCTGCATCATCCCCCAAGTTAGGCACAACTCTGCCTCTTTCAGCCCATCAATGCCCATCATCCACCACCCATCCGCCCGTTGCAGTGGGCGTCGCCATGACTTCTGGCCCAAGCGTCGAAGTCGCACCTGAGCACGAGAACGTCGGTAGGAAAGCCCAGGACGATGTGAAGATGCAAACCAGGACGACATAGAAGGCTTGTGCAAGGATAGAATGATTCCTTCGGAATGATCATGAATGTCCTAGGTCCTAGAGATCCTAGAGGGATAAACCCAACTGTTTCTGTCTTCGAAGGGAAAAACAGAGCCCACCCAGCCACCCCAGCCACGCTCTTGAAACACGGCGCCACACGCGGGAGATGTAGAGTGGATCCTGAGGCCAGCGCCGGATGTGGATGTTTCTTTGCAGGGTGGATCTCTTGTGATTCAATAATGTCTGATATCTGGTTCGGCTTCCCACTGTGAAGCTAAGAAAAAGATACAGCGGCCGCTGTAGAAGAGCGCACACTGCCAGCTGACAGGTCTGTTGATCTGAAAAAGCAATTGAGCCATGCCTGAGCCATCCTTGATCGAACAAAGTGATCGTACAAAGTGATCGTACAACGCCAAATGACGCAAGGAAAACAAAGGTCACGACCAGTTCCAAGGTGTTGGACATGTTCCGACTTGTCTCCACCATTTGTGTACACCGATTGGCAGCACTTCACATCATCCAAGGCACATCCCAGGGAGACATCATGGCAATCACATGGCCAATGCCGCTCACTCTCCTCGGCTGTCTAGAAGCCGGCCTCCCCTCTCCCTGCATCAGAGTCTTAGGGCTTTCTTCTCTTGTGGGAAAAACATCCGTTTCAACACGAAACAATACAGACATTCCAACGACCTACCATCCGCCACCCCATGCCCTCCCATGCCCTCCCATGCCACCCCATGCCACCCCAACCAACCCTCACCCTCACCTCCGCCATTCTCCACGTTCCTTCGGTCCAAAGCTCTCCCCAAAGGCCCGTTCGAACTGCTCGAAGGGCACCACATCACCCCTGCTGGAGGCCTCGTGCACCCGGTGTTGGTTGATGCACAGACCTCGAGGTCTCCGCGGCTCATCGCGACGCGCGAAGGAGCGCGGCGCCGCACGCATCGGGTGCGGAGCGGATGCGCCCGACACGCCACGGAGGAAGAGGACCGAAGCAAGGGACGGGCATCTGAGGAGAGGCTCCCAGGAGCCTCCGAAGTCGTTGGACCCGTGCGATTAGTTCGTGCCATGTTGTTCGTCCGTACTGAACGACTTTCCTTTCTGAACATCTTCGCCACAGCTGCACCACAACTCTTCTGGGCACCCTGACAGCAAATCCAAACATAAGCCTCTTGGGGCTTCAGCTCGTGTTTTTCGCAGAAGTCATTCAACGTCTCTGCGATGTCGCCCACCTTCGGTACGCGCGGTCGATCAGTCACAGGTGGCGGAGATGAGGTTCTTCAATGGCCATGGCATGACCGTTGACGTCACCCACTGGCCGATCAGGCGCAGTGGAAAAGCGGAGGAACCTTTTCCTCTGCATGAGGAACAGAAAATAACAGAAAAGGCCATGCGATTGGTTCTCTGAAGTTTCTTGTCTCAACAAACTGATCAGGTCTGATGAAGTATTAGCTTTTGGTGTTCTGGAGCTGCAAGTCCACCCCCCACAACTCCTTTGCCACAGGCGCCTGGTATCCCCAGGTGTAGCTCAGCATGAAGGACGCTGGCCCTGCATGACATGGTCCAAAGATGCCGTCCACATAGGCGGAGCCCATCCTAGCGAGACAGTGCTACCAACATGGGCCGCCGCTCAGGAAAGCTTTTCCGTTTTTTTGGTTGAGGGTCCGAGGTTGTGATAGTTGTGATTTGGCTGAAGGCTCCACGGATTTCTACATCATTCAGGTCAAGAATTACTTGGAAAACCTCATCCCATCCATGGTCCTGCCATCGCGCAGGCATCTCACCTTGTAGCCCTTGGGCCGTATCACCGTGGGCCTGGCAAGCCGAGCCGGCCACGCGTTGCCAGTTGCACAACCCCACTTCCCCGCCATGTGAAGCCCAAGTTAGGGGGCGGCGAGCCGAAGCCGCCCAAGGAGATCAAATTGATCACATGAAACATTATCCAACTAAGCCACCGAGTCCCAACCTATTGCAGATCTTCGTGAATTATGCTCTCAACAACGACGAAGACCCAGTCAAACTGCCAAGTTGCTCAATCTCATACACCCTGGCGGTGGCCAAGTGCCCAGCAGCTTCCACAGCAGGCAACAGTGCGTGCGTCAAATGCCAAACGCTGACCTGACAGGCCCAGTAAGTAGTGCAGTTGCCGTCCTTTGTTCATCCCACAACTTGGTCGTCTCTGGCTTTTACCATCTGCCACCTGCCCAAACTCAAACATTCATGGGACCCAAGAAGAAGAGGGGAAGCACGACCCTCGAACTGAACACAGAATCTCCGTGAAACTCCGTGAGGAAAAACATGAAACACTCATGAAACGACCCTGATCGGGGGCTCGAGGAGCCACTTCAGCCATTTTTGGGGCGCCCACTTCAGCCAGAACCCTTCTGGGCCCCCGTTGCGGCCATGGGGCGGCTCGGAACTCATGCCCTAAGTGTTGGTCAAAGAGGAAGTCGCAAAAGCACTGCATGTCCACCTCGGCAGGGACAGGAATTTGTCATAATTTGTGTAGGGAAAAACGGCCTGGACCCAACCATCCATTCACCTGGTGTGGTGTCTTTATGACGTGAGGGGCACAAGTTCCCAACCCAAGCTCTGCCACCCTGCACGGCCGAGCCACTTCTGCCTCCAGCGACGTGGCGGAAAGACCCGCCTCGTGATCACGCCCACGCTGGTCGAGCATTTCTCCGGTGGGGGGGGGGGTTCTGAAGCAAAACACGACCAACTCGGAAGAGAGATTCCTCGTGGACTCGTGAAGCTTCATGGGGTGATGTTTGTTGCCCTATCTTGCGGCTGGCTCTTGGGTTGGGGTAGTGGGTAGCAAGTGGATGCAAGTGGGTTTTCCAAAGCACTTCAGGCACTTCCGCATTTACCACCTCTCTCCGTTGCCCAACTGGATCTGGGCCCAGGCACATACTCCAGGAGCCCTACGCCCGGAAGTGCCAACAGCTCGAAGAGGTGGAGGAGCTCCGCCACGGTCAAGGGCAAGCCTCACATCGAGCGCTCGACGGGACCGGTCCGGGGCTCACGCTTCGTGTGGACCGGACAGTGCGGGACGAAGAAAACGACGTGGAAAACACGCGCGTGAAGGTGTAAGAAGGTGCGTGAAGATTCCCACGTGTCTTGAGAGGACATAAAATCTACCGGCCGGCCAGTCTTTCTGGATCTTCCTTGATCGTATGTGTTTTTTTTGCAGCAACTGTGTCGGGGCATCTGCTATAAAGTAGACTCAGTAGAATCAGGTTGGTCATGTCAAATCCGGCCAATCCGATCGGGGCGAACCCAACGAACCCTTCCAGCCGAACGGAGCCGAGGAGCTGCCTTTGAACTGCTCCAAGACTCGTGCTGCAGCGTCGTGCTGCAGCGTCGCCAGGCTGCAGCTGCGCCATGGCCACGGTGTCATGCCCAGGGGCCGCGAATTGGCGCTAGCGGTTCCGGACACCTACTGGGTCACTTCAGTCTGTTCGGGGAGCGTTCTTGGGTTGAATTTCTTCTTCGCTTTCGGTCGAACGAACGTCCTAAAACCTCCAGTCATTCCCAAACGTTCACTTCTAATCCTTCGAATTTTACAAGGTTTTTTCTGCAAGTCTGTAGTTTCGTTGAACAAAGTTGCCTTCCTTGGCCCCAAACGAAAGGCAAGCGTTCCTACATGAGGGTGCAGGCTGGATACTTCAAGAGTTAGTTCTGTGCGCAACGGTCGTCATCGGTCCGGGGCCGCTGTTTGGGGGTCGAACCGGCTGTCGGTCGAATCCTGTCGAGCTACGGCTGTCGGTCATCAAAGCTGCAGCGAGCATTCCACGGCACTGCTCTCGGCGAGCAGCTGGACACAATTCGGGAAGCAATCCGTGACAGTCAGGACGGCCCCCCCCCCAGCCCCACCAATTGCACACCTCCTACCACAAAATCATGCTGAAAAAGCATGAACAAGCAGCAATTCAACTGCTCTTCATCTGTCTCCAACGCGACCGGGTCGTGTTCATCACCGGTCCGGGGGTCCCGGGGGGGTTCGCTCGAAAACACTGAGTCCCCGGCCTTTGGGGCGCTCTCATCCACCTGGCATTTCTCGGGCTGAGCTGCGAGCTCTGCGGAGCCGAAGAAAAGACTTGAAGTGACATGGCACACGCACCCCATGTGAGTAATATATATATATTATATATATATATATAGACCCCCTATTTGAATTGAACATGCTCTTCATAGGGGGTTATTGATCAAGAGTCTACATTGCGTCAACAAGTCAACAAGATACAAAAAGTGCATACAAAAATGACAGCAGAATCGAGAGGCCTGATTCCATGAAAGGGAGAGACATCTGCGTGTTGGTGAAGGTAAAGGGAGCTGTATGCAAGGACGAAGCCCTAAGATTTGATATGGGGAGAATTGATGAGAATTGTGGTAGGAAAGTGCAAGAATTGATGAGAATTATTGGCTCTGTCCCCTGTGTCTGGTCGCTCCGGTCTGCACGGTGCAACGTTTCACGATTCACCGGTCAGCCTCGGAGGCAACGCTCCGCAGTGGGCCCTGCAGCTGCAGAAGACCATCCAATCATACAGGCCGGGAGATCCCATTTCCGTGGATTTCGGGGGGGTGGAATCCTTTGACATCAGCTGCGAGGATGAAGGCATTGGTTGGATCTCACGAAATCAGATCAGATTCCGATGGAGAAACCATGAGAAACCGGATGCAAGAACAAGCATGACTAAGCCAACCAACCAAATGCTGCTGGTCCAAGACCTTCGAAAACCTACATCTCAGATCAAGTCGCCACCAAAATTCTGAATAAAGCATCAGCTTCGGCACGCTCCCCAAAGCATTGCCCGAAAAAATAAGCGTTCTTCAGCAAAGGCAGGAAGTCATTCTACCAAAACCCTCCTGACCGGTACCATCTTCAGATGGTGTGCACGAAGCGTGTCCCTTCAAACGATTGCCCTCCGCTCCGGCACCTGTGGTGACTTTGGGGGCGATGCCTTTGGCTCAACTGCTTCATGGGTGGCCAGCGGAAGCAGCTGAGCCAAAGCCTTCAGCCTGGATGAAGCTCTCAGACAATGAGGGCCATGACCAAACAACATCAAATAACATTTTGCTATCAGCATATATATGCACACACCTCACTATGAAATTCTGCGGTTGTTACTGTTGAATACTCAAGCTTGGATACCCAACACGTGTAAAGTATCACTGCGGTCTCTCTAAGGATGCTAGTTAATGATTCCAAGATTTGCTCAAGAAGGCCAATCCAAGCATCTACAGTGGTTTTTCAGAATAGATGGCACGCCAAAGATGTCTTTGTATGGGGTCCATATAAACCACCGTTTGGGGATTTGCGCCATCTACTGTACTCTGAAAGCACAGTACAATTGCATGCAAGCTTTAACTGTTGGAGCCGAGGTGCGCTTTGGCTGAGGCTTCCTGAGTCATATATCAAATTATGACGGAAACACCACTTATTTATGAAGGTGGTGGCTTGAAATTCCTCAGGCCGAGAACGACCACGACGCCCAGAAAAGCCTCCAATCAATCAGAGGACTCTGCAGACTCAGAAGGAAAATAACAACTTGCGGTCGATATGATTAAGGCCACCAGAGATTCTTTGGGTCTGTTCCTTCTACGACGGCACGGGTCCAACCACGCGGCGGAACGGTGAGAAGCTGGAGAAGCGGGCACCGTAGGCGCCAGCATGGCCAACAGGCCGAAGGGCAGGGCGAGCTGCCAACTGTGGGCAAATGTGGAGAAAGCGACTGGTTTGACATTGGCCTGCTGTTTGGGGTCTTGGGTTGAAGGATGTTGAACGGAGCTACCTGCCAGACTTATGGATTTGGAGGTCTCTTGAAATGCAGTCTGCGATGAAGGAACAATTTGACCTCCATAATTAGTCATTCACAGAACTATGCTGAGTTCTTGTACTATCTTATAACATTACAGCTGTCAATATTGTGGTATGTAATATATTTGCAGATTGGCCTGGCGCAAGCTTCAAGCAGCTGCGGTGCAACCTGTGCTGCACTTCTCCCGCGCGTCAAGATGTGGAGCAGCTCAGCAGACCTCGGTGGCACCAAACATGTTTGATCCCCCCAAACATGCGGCGCGACATGTAGTCAAGACATGTCAAACCTCAAGGCCTCACCAGTGGCCTCAACCCCAATCTCATCCATCAATCTCTGAATCATTCTCATCCATCCCTTCTTCCATGCAATCCCACCTTTCCACCATCTTCTAGGGCTTCCCAACGCAGCAGATGCTTCCACCGCCTCCACCTCCCCACCATCGCTAGCCGCGAGGAACGCGGCGCACTCGCCACCAAAGGTCCCGGCGGTGCGGGCCAGCCTGGGCGAGGGTCTACACCTCTCACTGGGTCATGGACGCCTCTGGCTGTAGTCGCTAAAAAATACCAGCTGCAACCTAATCACGATAGCCTCTTTTTTGATTGGATTCACACTGTCAAACTGCTATAATATTATAGATATATATATATATATTATATGTATAGACATACCCTAGGCCTCCAGCCAGAATAAATTTAAATAGGCGTTACCGTTACCGAATCAACTAAGGATTTTACACTACAAACACCCGGTCGTTCCCATTTGTTCAATGGTCTTGGAAGTCTAGGGCTAGGGGCACATCCACAGACGACTCCATGGCAGACATAAAGCACCAGCGTCCCCGACGCGTCCACCCCGACCTTCTCCGACCTCCAGCGGAGCGATCGACGTCGAGCTGCTCATGTGGCAACATCACTTCGGCTTGTGCCCCAGCCAGCCAGGCAGCCTGGCCCACGCGAAGGGCGGGTGTCCAGGGCGAGTCGTTTGCGAGCAAAACTCCTAGAATCTCCAAGACCGCAAAAGCCTAACTTTATAGAATCTGATTGAGTTGAATCTGATTGATTTTATTCCCTGGATTTCCGTAACCTCACCAAAACGAACCAACGTCCCAACATCTGCGCTGTTTCATCCCTGTCTCCCTTCCCCTGCCCGTCTCACTTGATCCGCCGATCCACCACTCTGCAACCACTGAGGTCTCCACCCCTCCGCCACCCACCGGCCAGTGCCTCCTTGATGACCAGCTCCGCGTTCGCGGCCTTCGCCCGGATGCCCGCGCGCACGAGGCGTGTGAGCTCCAGGGGCGTCGCCTGGGTCTGGGTCGTGTCAAGCGCGGAGCCAGGTGACATCGAAGGAGCCGCGGGGTGGGGCGGTCCTAGGGAGGATTGAGCACCAGGTGGCGCAGGTGGTGCTTATGTATCGTGCTTGGGTTTAGGGGGAAGGGAAAGCTCCTTGAGGCTTGACTGGAAGAAAAATGCGATTGAGGACGGAAGTTCTCCGAGCAGCCCTGGCAGAGGAGAGACACAGGTGGTGCACTCAGAAGTGTCCAGCACTGTGTCCAGCATGTCCGGTCACATTCGTTTGCACCATCTGCCTTGAGGTCCTAGTGAGCTCTTGGCTTTCCACTGTCATATCATGTCATATCATGTATGATAACCATTAAAAACCTTGTGGCTTCGTCTCAGTGAAAGCTTTTAATGAACAACACCCAACTGCTATATACTGCCTGGCACTGGACACTCCATCAAGGCTTCCCCTCCATCAGCTGTGGCACCCTGTTTCTGGGCCCCATCAGGACCCCCCGACCTCTTTGAGCGTGAAGCGTGCTGCCTCCAAGATCACCGTGACGTGGGTACTCTCCAGGAACCGCGCGTGGCAATAGGCGCCGCACACCTCGTCCGTTCAACGAAAAACGCGTGCGCCCGCGCGCGCCCGCGTCGACGAAGAAGTCGTCGGGGCCATGGTCGAAGGCTGAGGAGTTGGCGAATTGCTCCAAAATCCATGTGCAGTCGATTTAGTAGAACACTATAGAACACTGGGCTCTCGGAGTCTTGAGCCTGAGGCCTGACCAAAACCGAGCCGGCCATCGTCAGGATCCTCTGGTGTTGTTCCTTTGGAGCTGGGCCCGTTTCACCCGTCACCTGTGCCAGGTGTGGTGCCCGCAGCTGGTCGGCGCTGAGCCGCTGTTGCAGCTGTGGCGCCAGCGCGGCCAGCAGCGGCACTGGCGACGCGACGGGGGCGCGACACGCCTCCAACCTACTGGCGATGGCCTCCAACCTAGTAGCGATGGCCATCCCTGCTTAGCTGCTTAAGGTGATTTCAAAGCACCCACCAAAATCATGGAGCGTCGACATCCCGTGCAACCCGGGGTCATGCTTGCCCAGCATGGTTTGGACTTACAGCCATTTTTCTCAGATATCCCGGACTTGACTCCCCACATTCTGGTGACCAAGTTCAGGTGGTTTTGGGTGGCTTCTCCGAATTCCCTCCGCTCGCCCCGGGTTCACCCCAGGTCGACCGTCCACGGACGCCACGGTGGACGCTCCCCCTTTTTGGCATCAGAAGAGATGCAGAAGCAGCGCGCGGAGGTACCGAGACTCCGGGAGCATCAGGTGGCCCGGATGATCCGCGGCCTGCAGAGGGACGAAATAGACTTGACAGTCCACTAGTAGGGCGCTTGTTTCTACTAGCTTCTTGTTACTACTAGTAAGGCACCTGTTACTACTAGCGATGCACTTGTTACTAATAGCTTCTTGTTTAGTCCACGTGTTTCTGCCCGGAAGAAAAAGAGGGGAGAGGGGTGAGCCTTCAGTGTTGATTTCACTGTGGTTCCTTCAAGGTCCTTCAGGTTCAGGTGGTGACTTCCCATCCGCGAGGACGAAAAAACCATCCTCCCAGGCGCGGCCTTTGGGAGATTTTGGGGTCTTCCACTTCCGCTGTTTTTCTCTCCGCAGCCCCGCTGTGCAACCACAAAACTCAACATACTCAACTCTCCACTGCTCACCCACCGCCCTCTTCGGCATTGAACGTGTTCAACAAGCTTCTGCTGCCGCCCGTGCATCGCCGAAAACACGTGGTCCGCCGAAAAACCAACGCATGGCCGTTGGCCGGCGGCCCCCCGGCCTGCGCGCCGCTGCTCACCAGGCGATAATCGCGCTGGAGCCATGCCAAGGACCGGTGGCAAACTCCCATGAGCTCTCGCTCGCCTGGTCAGCCGTGCTTCGAAGCGCAGCACAGGTTCCCCGCCTCCTTTTCTTTGGTCTTCCGGTGCCGGCACCCCTCAAAAGAGAACAAAAAACATGGGGGGCCTGTGTGTCATGGTCATAACTTTACCTCCCAGATCCTCGCCCACCTATGCTATCTCTAAACCCTGCTGAGCACCCTACAATGGCTGGGCGCAAACATCTGGACGACCTGCAACCACATCAAGCCCCTTTTGTTTGCCCTTCTTGAAACATATTGAAACCCAACTTCCACGGATTTCGGCCGATCAACAAAAGAAAAAGGTGCAGGGAGGCCTATGGAAAAGGTGCAGGAGGCGACGAAGAGCATCCCACCCGGCGCACAAAGCGAGGCCGCCGCTGTGACCAGCTTCTCGTAGTGCCGCAGGGCCTCCCATTCCCACTCCATCCCCCAGCATACCCTCCATCCAATCATTCAGTAACAAATATTGTACATAAATCTAGAGAACAACAACAACAACAACAACACTATATAATTACAGTATACTTTACAGTACTATATCTATTATATTAATGGTCCCGGTCCCTGGAACTCACATGGAAGTGGACCGACACCGTGTTTGGTCTTCGGATTTCATGGTCTTCTAAGAGGCCATGCTACTAGGAGCAAGGACGCTACTAGGGGCTCCTGGTCTTACTACTAGTAACAAGTGCCTCGCTACTAGTAACAAGTGCCTTACTACTAGTAACAAGAAGCTATTATTAGTATCAATAAAAATGTCCATGTGAGTTCCACCTCGCATCGCGCACGGCATCGCCTTGGACGCCGTGAGCCGATCCACGCCCAGGTTCGGGGGATCCAGGATCCTGGGGGCCGCGCCAGGACCCGGGGGTGGGGACCCGGTGATCAACAGAAGCAAGCTGAAGACACCTACTAGTAACAACTAGCTTCTTGTTACTACTAGTAAGGCACTTGTTACTAGAAGCGATGCACTTGTTCCTACTAGCTTCTTGTTACTAGTAGTAAGGCACTTGTTACTAGAAGCCAACTGAAAGCACCAAGCTTTCATGATCGGAGTCTTCTCACCATCCAAACAACCGCCCAACAGTGTGGTGAGTCGACCAACATCAATGGTCATTCCGCCGTCAAGGTGCACCAAGTCAAACTCCGAGTCTTCAAGGTCTTCCCCTGCAGCCTTTTGCCGGCTCTTCTCCTTGTCGGCGCTGTCGTTTATGGTCTTTCCCAGCGTACATCCGGCATCGTCCAAAACCGTGGGGGGGGGTTGCACCGATGAGTTTGACACGTCGCACGGCGTCATGTCTTTGATGAGTTGATGCTTGAGTATGACAGCTCTCTTAACACTCCTTAAGGTCCTGAACCATGCATGCAGCCTTGGGTGACAAATGAACAGAACCATGGCTTGTTTTCACGACCTGTCACGAAACAGCTGCAGATTTTCTCCCAGGTGGTGGATGGATCAACGTGCGAATGTCTGGACATTGGCTATAGGAGGCTTATTACAGGATGCTTTAGATTCACCTGGGGCATCACCTGTCCCTTCACCTGGGGCTTCAAGTCAAGTCACCTGACTGGCACGCGGCCCCGCGCCCGTTCCCGCCCGTTCCCCGCCTGCAAGAAGTCCATGGCATCCGCGCGGATGGACCTCCAAGTGTCCACCGGTGTCCATGGCGTGTCGACCGTGTCGACCGGATGTCCTCTTTGCGGATCGTTCGGTCGCGTCCTTGTTCCGTTCATAGCGATGGCCTACAGGTGAAACGAAGCTTCTATAGCTAGTAGCATGCAGTAGCGATGGCCTCCAAGCTACGACCGCGATGGCCTCCACCGAGCATAGCCGTCCTAGTTACATGAAATATGTTCATGTCTTTTCCTCCTGCTTGTAAGGCAAGGCACCTGCCCCGACACCCCTCACCCTACCACACCCCTTTCTGCGCCGCGCGCCCTCACGCGACCCCCACCGGTCCCGGTGCCCCGGGACCGGCGCCTCACGCAGCTCTGCACGGCGTTCATCGCTGCGGAGCGCCGCAGCAGCTCCAGCGCCGCCTCGCTGCTGTCGACACACAGCACCGAGGCGGCACCTACGGCGCACCGGGCGCGCGCGAACGGGGGTTGGGTTTTTCGGTCGCTCCTGTTGGGGGGGCGATCGCGGTTCCCCCAAGTAGGGCGAGAGATGGCGAGAGGAGTTGTTCTGGCAGGGTTGGGCTTACTTCAAAGTCTTCGGTTCGATGTTCGAATCCAATGTTGATCGAACCAATGAGCTCTCGAAGCGCCGGATTCGCATTCGGAATCAATCGCAGGTTGATCCGGAGTCGAGTCTACAGCCCTGGCTGGTGTTTGAGTGCTGCTTGCGGCCAAACTGAGCTTGGTGCCGTAATGCGCCAACAGCACGCCGAAGCCACCAACCTTTGGGGTGAAGGTTTGAAGTCTGAAGAACTCTCAAAACGAGCCAGGGGACGCTCGAAACAGCTCCTAGTAGCGTCCTTGTTCCTAGTAGCGATGCCAGGAGCCCCTAGTAGCGTCCTCTACTCCCCCCCAACCGCGAACCATAGGAACCATGTTCTTTGCCGCTCCATCGTAACGCCGAACCCCCAGCCACCCCGCTGGCGATGGAAGAAACGCGCCCCTTCGTTCAGCCACGAGGACGTAGCTGTAGACGTCCAGCACACGGGGGAGCGAACCCCGCACGAGGTTGGCCAACATCAAGCGATTCTCTCGCTGGTCGTAGTACCAGCCAGTCTTTTGGCCACTGAGCAGGTCCTGGGCAGCGTTTTCGGGCCCAGAAAGGGGTGGGTCTCAAGCGGGCCCGTATAGCTCTGGTGTCTGTCTGTGTCTGTCTAGGGCTCCTTTCGTCGGTGACTCTGCTCCCACTACCAGTAGTGGTTTTGATGATGGTCCTCCACCCACCGGGGAGCTAGGTGAGCACCATGCTAGCACCTGCCTGCCGGACTCGTGCTCCCCCTCTGGAGCCCAGGCACCACGGCAAAGGATGCACCATGCTCTCTCAGCTCGCTGGGGCCCTCGGTTTTGGTGAAGGAATGTTCATGAAGCACCAACCACTTTTCTTTGACCCAATGGCGATGGCCTCCAACCACCACCAACACCGTGTTTGTGGATTACATCTTGCAAGTTTCCGCTATCCGCATGTACTGTGCACGCAGACACGGCGGCCTACGCAGCCTGCGCTTGACTTCTGGCAATTTATGGAGGAGTATTTATTTTTGGATTTTTTTTGTTTCTTTTGGATTTTTTTTGTTTTTCGTGGCTTCTGGCTTCTGGCTTCTGTGGCTTCTGGCTTTTGTGGCTTTTGGCTTCTGTGGCTTCTGTATCTGTCTATACCTATCTATTTATCTATCTTTCTTTCTTTCTTTTGGCAGCTGTTCTCCTTTCTCTTTTTGTATTTGCTTTTCCTGTTGTTTTCGTTGCAGAGACGAAACAAGCAAGCAAGCAAGCAAGCAAGCAAGCAAGCAAGCAAGCAAGCAAGCACGAGCTGCTCACCTTTGGATCTGGTGTGCTGCTGGGGGGGG